CTTCAGAACTTTGATAACTCATAGACATGAGGATCTGTTGGCGCGTTAGACTTCTGTTCATAATCAGAATATCTTTTACTTTAGCACAGATTCTGATCATCATTCTTCAGAACATTCTGATTACTCAGCTTGAAAGCTTCTGTGGCTTAACTTCTGATGCCGTTTCAGTCAGAACTTCTGTACAACATACAACACAAATTTAGAGTGCATATTTGTTCTTTGTGTTTGTTATCATCAAAATTCTTATAAGGGTTGTAGAATCAAACTATGTTCTAACAATACTTCCTTTGTTGGATGTGGAGGTTTATTCAAAGACTCTTCAAGAATTAAATAAGGGGATATGTGTAAAAAAATGGTTTGTGTGATGCGTCCATTACTGAAGCGTGATCAATGTTGCATGAGATAAAGCTAACTAGGCAAGAGAATTAATTGCCAATAATTAGTCGAGAGTGACTCTAAAATATTAATAGATATGGTCAGTCAAGAATTTGGGAGATGCTTCATGTTTCCAAAACTTAAATTCGAAGAATAAAAAAATGACTCAAATAGATTGACACATCAAATTCAACTATATGTGACGAGAAATAAATCATTATGCAAATTGACTAATCAACTTTAATTTTACTTTAAACAATAATGAGATGTTGATTTTTCTAACCGTCTCCGCAAATAAATTAAATATTATGTTAGTTGATGTTGATCATGCAATCTCATTTCATATAATTGTTAAAAAAATTATTAAATTTTTTCACAAGCTTTTAAGTTCTCCTTTATATAAAAAAAATGAAATATTACAACTAAGGAATTAAATCTTTTTAAATCACTATATCTATCTCTTAAAATTTTAAATAAAAATTTATATAAAAAACAAAATATATCCAACTATTTATTTTAAAAAGTAAATTTGATGCATCTATTAAGTAAGACTTAATTAGAGAGGACAAGAGTCAACTTCAATGGATACTTATACAAATTACTTACAATAGATAGATAAAAATTCACAAAATAGATACGAACATGAATTCAAATAATTTTCATTAAAATAAAAGTTATGAATAGGAATATAGATATTTTAGTACTGATTCATTTCATATTTGTACAATATATATTTATTATTATTATTATTATTATTATTATTATTATTATTATTATTATTATTATTATTATTATTATTGTTGTTGTTAATAATATATATGTATGATTATCAGTTTTATTCAATACATCAATTATAAAATCGTACACATTTTGATATAAGAATTTGTTTATTTCTTAATTCAACAATAATATTTTTGAATTGTTTTTAAATATTATTGAAATTTAAAAATAATATGATAAAATATAATTGATTGATATTTTTTTATTAAAAATACACTTAAACCAGCATGAGTATGAATAATTAAATATCCATAAAATACAAATACAAATATAAACATTGATGTCCATCTGAATGTGAACTCAAATACATGAACTTTTTTCAATCGCATATATGAAAACAGTACCACAATAACCTACCCAAAATCTAAAATCTAGTCTCTATACTTAACTACTCTATTTAAATTAAAGTTATTAAACTATAGTACTTGTTTTGACAAAAATAAAAAAATGTATTTTTTAAGTACATTTGTTTGTTTATTTTCGCAAATTGGGTTTTAAGGGCCAGGGTTTTACATCTTTGTTCCTTCCAGCAAAACATTCAAAGTTTTATTTCTTCCTTTTCCTTTAACCTAGCAATTCAACCACGCCGCTGATTCATCCTCCTTCTACTGTGATTTTTCATTTCTTCTTCACCATCCTTCATCCTTCTACTGTGATTCTTCTTCAGGTTTCTCTGCCCATTTTTTTGTAAAAAACTTTCATTGTTATTGTCGTGAAACGCATATGTGGAAGCCGCAACAGTGATGCGCGTCCTAAATGGCATCACTGTAGCGGCCAGCGGAGGTTCCCCTCCGTACTGCCGCAATCGCGCCACTATCGGTCGCGATTAACCACCTAGGTTTCAGACTTGCAGAGATGATGGGTTGGAATTCTAACTATGAATTCAATAGCCCTTTTAGGTCTAAGGAAAAGGGTAGTTCACAAAATTTCCCATTTTTTTGTTATTCAGCAGAGATTATGTTGCCACACATTTCAAGGTAATAATGGGTTTGAATTTGAATGCATTGAGGAGCCTTTGAAAAAAATAGTTTCTGATTTTGATTCTACTTTGGATGAAAGGATCAATTTTAATGACGATTCAACTTCAAGCTGTGATCAAAAGCCCTTTTCACTTAGAAAAGGGTTCTTAGATTCTGTGAAGTTAGATGCTAAGAGGGCCCTTGAGGTTCTTAGACAAGATGGTCCTGGTCTTGATGCTAGGTTGATTTTAGAGGAGTGGAGTATAAGACCTTCGGGGATTCTTGTTCGAGAGGTTCTCTTTGGAATTTTGAAGAGCATTAATAGTGAGAATAAGACCAGGTGTGCAAAGTTGGCTTATAAGTTTTTCGTGTGGTGTAGTCAGCAAGAGGATTATCGGCACACTGCGAATGCTTATCATTTGTTAATGAGCATATATGCTGAGTGCCAAGAGTTTAGGGCGTTGTGGAGGTTGGTTGATGAGATGATTGAGAAAGGCTATCCGGCTACTGCACGTACTTTCAATGTTTTGGTTCGGACTTGTGGAGAGGCGGGGTTGGCTAAGACGCTGGTGGAGAGGTTTATTAAATCGAAGAACTTTAGCTATAGACCTTTTAAGCATTCCTACAATGCAATTCTACATAGTTTTCTTGTATTAAACCAATACAAATTGATTGAGTGGGTTTATGAGCAGATGTTGCTTGATGGTTTTTCGTCAGATGTTTTGACTTATAATATTGTCATGTATGCCAAGTATAGACTTGGAAAGGTGGATCAGTTCCACATACTGCTCGATGAGATGGGTAGAAATGGATTTTTGCCGGATTTCCATACCTTCAACATTCTTCTTCATGCTCTTGGTAAAGGGGACAAACCACTTGCCGCTCTTAATCTTTTGAATCACATGAGAGAAACAGGTATAGAGCCAACGGTACTTCATTTTACCACATTGATAGATGGACTCAGCAGAGCTGGGAATTTGGATGCTTGCAAGTATTTTTTCGATGAAATGACAAAGAACGGGTGCATGCCAGATGTGGTGGCTTACACTGTTATGATAACGGGATATGTAGTGGCTGGTGAGCTTGAGAAAGCACAGGAAATGTTTCAAGAGATGCTTTCCAAGGAGCAAGTTCCAAATGTTTTTACATACAATTCCATGATTCGAGGATTATGTATGGCAGGAAAATTTGATGAAGCACTCTCAATGTTGAAGGAAATGGAAAGGAAAGGTTGTAGTCCAAACTCTGTTGTCTATATTACATTAGTGGATTGTTTGCGGAATGCCGGAAGGGTTACTGATGCTCGTGAGGTGATAAGACAAATGATGGAGACAGGGAAGTATGCCCACTTACTTTCAAGATTCAAAGGGTTTAAGATGTAGTCGTAAATTAGACTTTCAAATCAAACAGTTTAACGCTTGGGGCATCGACTCTTTGTTTGATTAACCTCGGTCAACTACCTGCCACGTCTTCAGCTGGTTGGATGCTGGAGAAAAAAAGTATGTCGTCTCCCATCCCCTAATATATATAATTCTTTCTACACTGAGTAGCCAAAATGTAAACCTGTATGCCCATTTTTGTATAACATATGATCAACATTTGTTGTTCATTATTTTAGTTGTGTTTCTTTTAATTCATACTCCTATGTGCCTGCATATTGCAAAGAGCTTATTCTTGGGGTGCCAAAATCATCTTTACTTACTTTTATAAAGTAAACTTTTTTGTAGCACCTATAAAGTCAACAGTGTTCTGTTGAGGAAAAGTCGTTTGTATAGTATTTAGTATGTCTGTTTGGTTATAATCTGTAATTAAAAATGTTCTTTTAATTGACTAAGTCTCCTAGTTTATTGGTACATTTCCAAGTGTCTGAAGCACACAGCCAAAAATATTGCAGTGACAAATGTGTGTAATTAATTATGCTGCCTTCCAAAATCATGCCTAAGTTGGTTGCTTTTCTTTGTGGCTTCAAAGACAGCCATAGTCTGCTTCGATATTCCACACGAAGATTGAAAAACATATCATTTGTACTAAAAGGTAATTGTTATGGTTTATTTATTGGCTCCATATTTAATATTAAATTGCATTGTGGGGTAGAATATCAAGGGGTCTAGAAAAATTTATGTGAGTTGTGATTTTATCCACACAATTATTCGCAAGTTCAAGATGAATTTTAATAATACTAATAAAATGGTATCAAAGCTTGGATTTTTTTATTGGTCGTATTTAATTGGTATTGTTTTCATGACAGGATCATTACCATTTCAGTATCACCATTCTTCAGATTCATATTCATCATATCAGTTCAAGTTACTATGCTCCTATTAAGAATTACATAAGATCCATGAGCCATCCTGTGTATCAAGATTGGAAAGAGCTGAGGCCAATCACACGCAGAAGAGAATTTCATTCAAACACTGAAATAATCAATTCAATTGGAGGTCTAAGTACCTTTGTGTTAAAAAGGGGGCTGAAGCCATTGTGCATTGCTTTGCTTTTAGGGTAATCCCAACACTTTTCCTTGGCATTGTCATGCATGCTTAGATAGTTGTTGATTAAATTTTAGCATCATGAAGACATTTAGGTGATTCACGAAGGTTATATCTTTGAAAACGCAATTACCAATAGTGGTTAATTTAAAATTTAGTCATAGAGAAAGGTCACTTTATTATTTCATGTAAAAACCTCCTAATCTTCTTTTCTCCGCTTGTAATTTTTTGTTTTGGTCTTATGTTTCTCTTGGCTTTTGCTGTCATTTTCATTCCACAAATATATCATTCTTTACAAGCATGAATAAAATGCATAGATATATTATCTCATTCAGAAGTCATTAGCTCTTTGAGATATGTAAAGAGAAAGAATTTGAAAATTCAATGATGTGCACTGTCTTTATTTTTTCTCCTCTTGTTTCTCTTCTTTTTTCCCTTCTTTCTTCTCTTCTATGGCAGGTCCAATCGATACTATATCTACCTTCCCCACTTTCTTGAGCTTCTTCACTACTGCCACTGTATCCATTTCGCCAATCACTGTTAACTTCTGTTCATTAACATCTGTCTCGATTGAATCAACTCCTATTATCAATGTACCAACAGTCACACAGATTCATCCTTAAATGAAAATTAAATTATAAGTTAACACCTACCATAGATATCTGCAACTGCTTCTATTGATTTCTTCTTTGTTTTGTCATCTGTCATAGTAAGAACCTTTAACACCACCTTCTGCTATGGATCCATTGAGGGATAGCACATGTAAACAGACAGAAAAAGGAGTAAACAAACACAATTCTAAATCAAATTATTCATATATAAACAGTTTATGTTGTCACTTTAATTTTTAATATTGAATTTGTTTTATGTGCAGAAACCCAAATGAGAAGATAAGTACCTGAGCCATTGTGAAAAGGGAAGAAGTGTGTGAAAACAAGGAAGAGGAGAATGAAGGAAGGCTTGAGAATACAATGTAAGACGTGTGGTTGTGGATGTCTTGTTTTATATATCGCCAGCATGGAGAAACTCAATAGGACAAATCTTTGATGTGTTTATTATATGTTACGTGCCATTTGAAAATTGAAATATCTTTTATTTTGTCTCTGTTTTTCACTTTGTTTTTGTACTATCTTTCCTACCCTATCAATACAGATCAAACACGGTTAAATGTTATATATGTTTGAATGGCTCCACTCATGTCAGAACACAATCATTTCCAGAAATATTTACTTACATCCAAATGCTTCCCTCGACAATACAAACTTAATGTTATGTTATTATCACCCTGCAATTCTATATTTCAAGTGAGATGATTAGATATTTTCTCTAATTTTATTTGTGGTTTAATTGTGACAAGGATGAAACAAGAGTTGAATATGAGATGGAGACAACAAAAGACAAACTTAAGTGACTCACATACTTTTTTCAGTCATAAATAAAATGCATATATGTTGTCAACTAAACATAAAATTTACTCAGAAGAAAGCAAATACAAACTGTGGCAGGCGAACAAGAAAAATAAAAATAGAATCACTCATGGTCGTGGTTTCTCTTCATCTTCGTCTTCTTTATTTTGGCCACTTTTACCCATAACCCAGTCCCAAAGCCGAGTGCTATCACAAAATAGAACCATATTTTTTCCATCCCATCTTCGTCTTCACCACCTTTTCTTTCAGAAGTTCCATGAAAAATATCACCGGGACACATGTTTGGAAGTGGCGATCCACAAAGTTATGGGTTGTAAGCATAATTAGGCGGGTCATTAAAAGTTGAAAACTGATTATCTTTAGGAAATGGTCCGGAAAAATTATTGTGAGATAGGTTTAAAAAACTCAATGAAGTTATAGCAGACATGGTATTGGGAATTTTGCCGGAAAGTTGGTTATGAGATATGTCCAATGATTCTAATGATTTCATGTTTCCTATCAATTGAGGAATTTCTCCTTCCAATTGATTTTCAGACAAGTTCAAGCCATGCAGTCCTGTGAGCCAAGTGATTTCATTCGGAATAAATCCAACCAATTTGTTTTTTGACAAGTCCATGTTGACTACCTGTTGTAAGATTTTGGTATAGTCGAGATCCATTCCTTTCACACTTCTTTTGCACCTTGATCAGACCAACCATCACCCATAGGAGAGGGTGCGGAATCTTCGTTTGTAAGAAACTCATTTGACCATATATGAGGAGGAGCCTCTGCTATAAACTTGGATGATTGCATGGAAACTGGTTGTTTTAATATCATCCCTTCAAGGTTTTCTATGCATCGAGGTATCGAGCCATGTAATTTGTTTCTAGAAAGGTCCAAAATTTTGAGGGACTTGAGTTGACATAACTGCGTAGGAATGCTGCCATTCAACATGTTTTGCCGCAATCTAATAATTTGCACTAGAGGAAATGTGTCTATTGTCCATGATGATGGTATACTTCCAGAAAACTGATTCTCACCAAAATCCAAAATCAACAATTGTTTCAAATTTCTAAAAGATGTTGGAATTATTATTGTTCAAATGCAACCAAAGCAGTGCGGGAAGATTTCCAAATGAGTTTGGGAATGCTCCGGTTAGTTTGTTAGATGACAAGTTTATCTCAGACAATATTTCTAGACTATCCTCCCAACAATTTGGAATTTCACCCGACAAATTATTCTTTGAAAGGTCAAGGTTGTTAAGTGGAATTTGGCACAAAGAGATGGGGATTGAACCATTTAAGTGGTTATTTCCTAAAAACAAGCCCTCTGAAAAAGACAATGATATAAGACTAATATTTTTTGGAAGTGAACCACTTATTTGATTATGAGAAAGATTCAAAAGCCACAAATTTAAATGACATCCTTTTTCCATAGACATTGTTCCATCCAGCATATTTGAAGAAATTGTTGGGGGAGATACTAGGAGTATTGATACATAGTGTAGAACTAGACACCTTTAGAAGACATCATTTTTTCATAGACATTATTCCTTCCGGTATATTTGAAGAAATTGTTGGGGGGAGATACTATGAGCATTGATACATAGTGTAGGACTAGGCACCTTTGTAAGAGACACACCATTTATCCACCTAAAACCTAGGAGCATTGATATATAATGTAGGACTAGACACCTTTGTGAGAGACACACCACTTATCCACCTAAAACCTTAAGGTGATAGGTGAGTGGGTTCTCCCACTTATATATGCTTAAGTCTCCACATTTCTATCCAATGTGAGACTATTTCCCCACTTACTCACACTTGCTATATTATTCCAACACTCCCCCTGACATCTTGCAACGAAACACCACTTCCCGAGCATATTTTAATACAAGTCTCTTCCGGTCTCTTTCTCGAACCAAATGCTCTGATATCAATTGTTGGTGCACAAAGAAGAGATGAAAGACAAAATAAATATATTTAACTGGCGGCTACAAAAATAAGAAATAATGATTTATAATGAATTACATTGAGCTACCTCACTAGGCGATTTATACACAAAATAAAATCCTAAATATCCTCTGACAAAGATATAAAAAGATATAATAATATCTTCTAAAAAGATATTCCTAAAATATAGATTAAATCTAACACCATCCCTTAATTTATATTTTATCCAAAACTGACAACACCAATTCCATCCCTCAAGCGAAAAAAATTGATCAGTCTTGATATTCTTTGTTAGAACATCTGGAAGCTGCTTCTGGGTGCTACCGTGCACAACTTCTAATATTTCGCTATGAACTTGATTCCTCTCAAAGTGATATTTGGTCTCAATATGCTTGCTTCTTCTACGCAACAATGGGTTCTTGACAAGATTGATTACAGATTTGTTATCAATCATCAGCTTCAGAGGTTTATTTACCTCAATCTTCAGATCTTTCAGCAAGTTTAGAATCCACACAGCTTGACATGCAGTCAGAGCGCTTGTAATATATTCAGCTTCACAAGTTGACAGCACAACAACAAGTTGCTTCTTGGAACACCAAGAAATAGGACCTCCCAGAAATTTGAATAAGTACCCAGAAGTACGTCTTCTGTCAACACTATCTCCACACCAATCAGAGTCTGAATAATTCAGAAGTTTTGATTCGATGTTTCTTCCAGACAGAAATAACACTCCATACTTCAGAGTTCCCTTTACATACCTCAGAATCCTGACAGCAGCTTGATAATGAGACCACTTTGGTTTACTCATAAATCTGCTAACCATTCCAACTGCATAACAAATATCAGGCCCGGTATTATACAAATACCTCAGATAACCAACTATTTGTGCGAAGGTTGTAGCATCCACATCCTCTTCATCAAAATCAGAGTCCAACTTCTGATTCGTATAAGCAGATGTGATATCAATTTTGCAATTCTCTAACTCAAATCTCTTCAGAAGCTCTAGTTCATACTTCATATGATGTAAAATGATTCCTTTCTCAGAGTACATAAATTCCATCCCTAGAAAGAAACTCATTTTCCCAAGATCTGTCATCTCAAACGCATTTATCAGAACTTTCTTGAACTCAGCTATCTCTTGTTCAGAACTTCCTGTGAGTAATATGTCATCAACATACAAACATATCAGAATCATATTACCTTCTAAAGTATACTGAACATAAACACCATACTCCATCTCACACTTCTGAAACCCTTGTTCCTTGAAAAAGAAATCAATATTCAAATTCCAAGCTCTGGACGCTTGCTTCAATCCATACAAGGTTTTGTGTAATTTGAACACCATCCCTTCCTGATTCTTTTTCTCAAATCTAAGAGGTTGTGATACATATACCTCTTCTTGTAATGGACCATTCAGAAATGCAGATTTTACATCTAAATGCATCAGAGGCCAATTCCTGTTAGCAGCTATTGCAATCACTAGTCTGATTGTTTCATGTCTCGCTACAGGTGAAAATACTTCAAAGTAATCCAGCCCAGACTTCTGTAAAAAGCCTCTTGCTACTAATATTGCTTTGTGTTTGCCAATTGATCCATCTGACTTTAGCTTCTTCTTGAAAACCCATCTGACGCCGATGACTTTCTTGCCTTTTGGAAATTCTGTCAGCTTCCAAGTCTTGTTTCTCTCTATAGCATTAAGTTCTTATTTCATGGACTGTAACCAAACTTTCTACTTAAGAGACTCTTCCGTACTTACGGGTTCAGAGTCTACTAGCATTGCACACTGAATAAGTTCTCCTTCAGAGTCTACTTCAGTGTCTTGCAACATGTTAAACTCTGCAAATCTTCTTGGGATGCTTCTAACTCTTTGTTGCCTCAGAACTGGACCTTCAGAACTTTGGACACCAGAAATTTCCCCTTCAGAAGCACTTGCTTTAGAAATTGGACTTTCTCCAGAACCTTGACTGTCTTCAGAGTCTGGATCACCATCAGAGTCAGATTCAGAATCATCTTCTCCTTTTGTATCTTCTTCAAAGTCAGAGTCTTTACCAGCTTCAGAAACATGTGTTTTTGAATTTTCTTCAGGATCTCTCTCATCAGATTCAGGATAATACCTTTCCCAATTTCAAACATCTGATTCCTTTACAATGACGTCTCTGCTGAACTCAACTTTGTTAGTTTCTGGATAATAAAGTTTGTATGAACCTGTACTATGGTATCCCACCAGTAACATTACTTTACTTCTATCATCCAACTTCTGTCTGTTGGGGGGAGATACTAGGAGCATTGATACATAGTGTATGACTAGGCACCTTTGTGAGAGACACACACCACTTATCCACCTAAAATCTTAAGGTGATAGGTGAGTGGATTCTCCCACTTATATATGCTTAAATCTCCACATTTCTATCCAATATGGTACTATTTCACCACTTACTCACACTTGCTATATTATTCCAACACTCCCCCTGACATCTTGTAACGAAACACCACTTCCTGGATGTATTTCGATATAAGTCTCTTTCGGTCCCTTTCTCGAACCAAAGGCTCTGATACCACTGTTGGGGGGAGATACTATGAGCATTGATACATAGTGTAGGACTAGGCACCTTTATAAGAGACACACCACTTATCCACCTAAAACCTTAAGATTTTAGGTGGAGAAGTGGTGAGTCTCTCACAAAAGTGTTTGTTCCTATACTATACATGAATGCTCCTAGTATCCCCCCCTAATAGAAATATCTAAATCATACAAATTGATAAATTGACAAATACTTTGTGGAATGAACCCATTAAAAGAATTGTTTGAAAGATTAATAGTATATATATTTAAAAGTTTTCCTATGCTTTGAGGAATAGAACCATCAAATTTATTTGAAGAAATATCTAAAAAAGTCAAATTTAAGTTGAAAAAGACTTTCAGAATTGAGCCTATTAAAAAAATTATTTGAAAGATCAATAGTATATATATTTACAAGTTTTTCTAAGTGTTGAGGAATAGAACCATCAAATTTATTTGAAGAAAGATCTAAGTGAGTTAAATTTGACAGCTTTACTATAAATAAGGGAATAGATCCACGGAGTAAATTTGAACCGAAATTAAGGTGCTTAAGATTTTCAAGTTGCTCTAACTAAGCTGGAAGGTGATCGTTGATATCATTATTTTTGGAAATCCACCAAATATCTATGATGAATTTATACTAATCTTGATGAACAAGAATGATATCACCACACAATGATAATGAATTATGGGAAAAGAAAAGAAAGAAGACAATTATTTTCTGCAAAGTTTCTCTCTGTCCACAAACAGTGAAAAACTTTATTAATCACTTGCAACTGCAAATTCTGTGATTACAATGAATTGACTTAATTACAAAATTAGGGGTTACTCCCTCTATTTATAGATTTAGGTTAGCTTGCTCCTAAGTCAAAACCCAAAACTATAAAAGCCTAAAATAACTATTTTGGTACTAAATCAAATCTATCTATTTTAGTTTTAAATCAAATCTATGTAAATCTAAAACAAATCAAATCTGTGTGTAGTATTTTCGACACACCTACTTCGACACTCCCTTGTCTCTGTCGAGCAAACTGATTCGACATAAGTAATTACTTTTAACACACCATCTAATTCATTGTGTCTAAGCTATCTACATTCATCATAACTCTTAGCCTCCGAAATACTTCGACCTGCACACCCTTCGTCATGATGTCTGCAATTTAATTCTCAGTTCTGCAGTGTTCCAAATTCATCTTCCCATCTTCTACCTGCTCTCGAAGATAGTGGAACCTCATTTCGATGTGCTTATTTCGACCATGTGCTATCGGGTTCTTTGCTAGATTGATAGCTGACATGCTGTCAATCTTCATGGTAATTGCTCCATGATTTTTCCCTGTTATCTCTTCGACGAAGTCCACCATCCAAGTTGCTTGACATGCACAAAGAGAAACAACTATGTATTCTGCTTTGCATGATGATAATGCCAATACTGGTTCCTTTCT